ATAAATAACAAATACAAGGTCAAACTAGTAGAAGCTTTCCTGAAATTGTTGATGCCTTATGTAACCATTACCTCAGCAAAAGGATTTGGGCATGTTTAGTATTTGGTCATAAGGTTTACAAGGATTTCAGCAATTACTGAAGAACCACTACACAAAATTTAAAGAGATTACCCATTGTTTTACTACAGACGTATTCTGTACTACTTAATGATAGGGTGAAATTAATAGCTATTTAAACTTTGATATCCTGTGAGAACTTGGTACCAATAGAGTGATTAAACATGTTTTGTACTTTCCTGTCAATCTTTTAAAACATTATTAGGTCATTCAATATGTTAGAGGAACTGTAGGAAGGTAATACAAACAATACTGAAAATAACCGTATTTTAACACCCAATTCTCGAGTCAAGGGGATAATTAAAATGCCATCGTTCCAAAGAAGTCTAAATTCGGAATTAATTTTTTAACGAATTGATAGTACGTCTGGCTTCCTTTGCGAGTAAAATGTCAAGAAAACAGGTACTTTTCTCTTCTTTTTTTTAAAAAAAAATTGACAAAGAACAAGATATATGAAACAAAATAACACACGACGTCCTGCTAAATTTCGGAAAATTGTGTGTTTTTTCCATAATAACTTGGAAGAATGTAAGTTATTAGTGCATCATTTATCATAAATGGCGCTTTTTTAAAGGTGTAAATTCAAAGTAGCATGTGTTTGATTGTCTGGAATGTTCGCGTTGCCAGTGTGACCAGAGAGCCCCCCCCCCCCCCCCAGTAGCACAGTGGACTTCCAACGTTAGAAACCGGGCTTCGATACCCGTGGTTGGCAGAGCACAAATAGGCTATTGTGTAGTTTTATGCTTAACTACAAACAAATCAGTGAGATAGTGATGTGTTTTAATTGTTTGGAATGTTCTCGTGATGGGTGTAAAGGTAGTGATGTGTTTACTTGTTGGGAGTGTTCTCGTTGCGGAAGACAAAGATATAGAGAGCATTCAATTCTAATGAAAGGGAAACAACCGAAAAAGAAGTATGGAAGACTTGCGTAACGCATTGATATCAATGATAATTCTAGTCATTTTTTCAGCATTGTAAACAGCGGAAATGCAACATTAGGATTGAAAGATATTGAAGGACATGCTAAGATGATTAAACTAGCTGTTACTAATTTACCCAAATCTGGTGAATTCATCATTGATCCTGCTTATCACAAATAAACGAGGTAGCAGCAACGCAAATCCCCACGCCCAGTGGCTCAGCGGTAAGTCTGAAGGTTTACAGCGCTAAAAATCGGGTTTCGATACCCCTGGTGGGCATAGCACAGATAGTTCATTGTGTAGCTTAGCAACAAATAAAGCAACGCAAAATCGATGAAAACGGGAAACAAATGTCTTCATCAACTCGAGCTAGAACAAATAACATATACACATCTACCCCAACTTGTCAGGATATTCAATGAAGATCCAAGGATTCAACTTCTGATCACTTATTGAAGCAACTATGCGGTATCAGCTGAAAATAAAAAAAAATATCTGCAATGAACTCTCAATATCAGAAAACAAACACGTTTCCAAATGTGCCAGCTTTGTACAATTAGGCGATATTGGTGCTTAATAATTCATAACTAAGGTTTTTTTGCTTGTCGAACATCGTGTAAAATGGACTCATTTTCCAGAAAACGACACTTTTGAAATTTCGTATTTCCTGAAATATCTAGACTTGTATTTTATGTTACACTCTGAAACGTTACCTAAATATCGGAGTTAGCCATTCGAAATTTACAGTGTATTTTTAAAGTGAAACTGTCCCACTGACATGTAAATCGGGTATTTAAACAATCTATAACAAGTTGGAAATTATCATGTTTGCCTCACCTTTCTTTTAGGTTTTATAGGGCCGCAATTCTTTACAGTAGGTGTTTGTAACTTGTTAGCAATAAATTTCAATGATAAACAAACAGCGCACAGTCCAATTGTTTTAAAATAATATATTACACCAAGTCAAACGTATATACAAATGTACGCTACACAGTTAATCACCATAGTTCAATCCAGAGCTGGTTCAGTTACTTTAAAACTCAATTGACAAGACAAATTATTCTTCTCTACTTTGTTATTACAATATAGTCTGCGATTATTACACTTTAAAATTCGCCACTATACACTCTTTATGGTCAAATTCATTGTCATCTAGTCTATTTCTATCTCTCTCTTTTTTTTTTTACTAATTTTTCGACAAGTATATATAGATATACTCTCGACACCAATCTAGAACTTTCTACACCCTAATAGATAATATATGACGCAACAATACTCAATTAAAGCAACGAGAAAAATTCAGAAGGTTCCAAAAACATGATGTCAATTCACAACAATTGAACTACACAACAAATAATTCTTAAACATTTATGTAAGCAAACTTGTCATAACAATCGTTTCTAAAAATAAGTTACTTTAACATTCGCACTATATGAATTAAATACTCTCACGTTAAGCTTAAAATGAACGGTCGTGTATATCTAACACTTTCCAAGACGTTTATTGTGTTTTTGGAGCATAAAGACAGCACAAAAATCCGAGGTTCTTTTCCCTGCGTTGGATAGAGCGTAAATAGTCCATTGAATAGGTTTTCACTAAAAAATAAATACAGTTTATGATATTGTAGACTGTGTTTCGATAATATTTATTCTGGATTACTACACTGTAAAAGTTCGAGTTAGGTTACTGTAATTATGGAATTTGCTAAATTGAGGTTTTAGTTTGTATGTGGCTTTGAAGAATTAATTTGTAACAGAACGAGATATTTTGTAGAAATAGTAGTATTCATACATCATTGTCAAAAGTTGTTGTTTTTTCTGGGAAGTAGTGCACAGGAAAAGTGTTCGGATTGCGCTCTTTAGTCATACGCAACTCATTGCGTCAAAATGATTCAATTTACAGAGCTCAAATATTTCATAAATTTTACTGATATAAACTGTAATGTTTTTATATATTAAAAGTAGTACCGTTTATTTAGAAAATAATAGTTTTTAAGAACTCCAGTTTTTAGCACTACATTTAAAAATTACATCAATAAAGATATAATCAAACCCTCACGCACAGTCATGGTAAAAGTTGTATTCTTGTTGTGAGGAGAGTACTTCTATTTATAACTGTGTTCTGTTATAAAGAAATGGCTGTTACACATACCATACCTAATTTTCTAATTGTCTGAATATTGAATACTCAAAGTGTGAATTTTTTTTATGGATTTTTGTTTGTGGTGCCATTCAATAGATAACGCCACATTTCATAAGCCTGAATCACCACTCCTGACATTGAGTTCTTGTTGTATTTCAGCACAATAGATGGCACTACTTATTTGTTATCTCTGTTATATAGATAAATATATAGACTGCCATGCCATTGATCCATTATAATAAGAATAAGAGTTAATAGTAAGAATTTATCGTGTTTCCCGACAGACAGCGGAAATTAAGTTGATTATAATCAGAAAACGCTCATATAAAAGAAATTATTACTAAAATGAAAAAATGTTAATTTTTTTAAGATGATGATCAATATTACTATAATATGTTATGAAAGTCAAAGTTATTTAGTTTTGAAATATATCCTGTGAACATTTAGTTTTTGCACTGGTCTAGAATTAAACCGTGTTAATTATGCAACTAAAGTCACGACTTATATTATTATTTACTTAGCCAGATTGTTAGATTTTCAGAATATTATTGTTATTGTAAGCCTATATTATTGAAGTTCATGTTTGTTAATTATTTAAGAAAACAAATTCAACTGTAATTAGGAAAGGTGACATACTGAATGTCTGATTTTATTGCATTTTTCTTGTGCAATAAACACACCAAACAACACTATCGTTTGTACTTTATTTTGAGAAAAATATCTGAAATGATGGCTCAAGAAATATATTAATATAAGCTATAATAGTGTAAGCGCATAAGATCAATCACCATAAAAATCACATACTTTCAAATCATTAGCTAACATACATATTCTTTTTGTGTTTTAGTCAAATTTATAGTTCAAACTTGAGAACTTTATCTCATCATTAGGCAAATTTCAAAATATCAACTCAAAAAAATATGTGATAAATGTGTGCGAATTTATTTGAAGTTTATGACACTTTAGGTTTTTTATTTAAAATATTTGGTTAATTATCCCTTATGATAACAAAGAATATGCTGTGTGCTTTTGCTAATCAACGATAAGTCTTTACGTTGTTCATCACCAGAGAATAACAATCTAAGCCATGGCCAGGTGGTTAGGGCGCTCGACTCGCAATCTGAGGGTCGCGGGTTCAAATCCCTATCCCACCAAACATGCTCGCCCTTTCAGCCGTGGGGTCGTTATAATGTGACGGTCAATCCCACTATTCGTTGGTAAAAGAGTAGCCCAAGAGTTGGCGGTGGGTGGTGATGACTAGCTGCCTTCCCTCTAGTCTTACACTGCTAAATTAGTTACGGCTAGCGCAGATAGCCCTTGTAAATTAACGATCAATATGGTTACCAAAAAGCCGTGAATTTCGTTTTAGAAATCAACTATTTCAAGGCAATAACGAATGATAAGCGGGACCGAAGGGTTAATAGGTATTGAAACAGTTATACGACTGAGAGGGTTATAATTAGGGCAAGTGCTACCTCAGTGAAAGAACTAAATGAAAAGCAAGACGCTGATAGAAAAGTGGTCTTTCTGCTACCATAGATCTTTAAGTTTGATTTAATGCTTTTACGCTTATTTTTCATATACACTGAAAATGAAAGCAACGGAGTAAATATTTCCATTGTCAGCTCATTTTTGAACTCAATGAGCCTTTCTCACAACTTAATGTGTGGTCTGCTAATATATAAAAAAAGTGATTTCGTATATAAACACAAACAAAATATTGAAAGTAGTTTTAATAATGAGAAAGTGATTTACAGCACAGTAAAATACATGACTAAGCAATACAAGAAACTACTAGTTATAAAAAAAAGCATTAATCCACCATGCAGAGTTTTTAAAGCAATATTATCGTGTTTGGTAATACAACTTGCATGACAGCTACTACTACTAATAATAATATGTGTGATAGTTTGAAAACGTACACAGCCGAAACACCGTATCTGTCACTGTTTCGGAGATGTCTTCCTAAGCAAGAAGAGTTTTAGGAAAATATAAACGCCCTCTGTCCACTCGACAATTGTAAGAAGGGAAACTCCTAGCCAGAGTCCCATTATTCCTCCAAGCTGACCAAACATTTCACTCCCCTATAATATAAAAGAAACGTTTAAATAATTTCTATACATTTGTTGTTTTTTTTTGTTTGAATTTATGCACAAAGCTACACAATGGGCTATCTGTGCTCTGCCCACCACGGGTATCGAAACCCGGTTTCTAGCGTTGTAAGTCCGCAGACATACCGCTATGCTACTGGGGGGCTTTTTATACATAAACAGTCCACTCTCACTATTTTACTTTTATTTTAGGAAAAGAATAATCTAGTTCTAACTTCAGACAACCAACAGTTTAATTTCTCGAAGGTTATATAATACGCTTCAAATACAATCTTTAGGCATATCATCTTTCAAAACGCACAAATCAAATATGGTTGATTTGTGATTAATGAGGAAAATAATTATTTAGTTGGTAATAAGAAAACTGTATAAATAAGACACTCGGATCAAAGCTTAGGAACTCAATATTTATCATGGTTAGTGTTGTATACGCTCACTTAAATCTAAATTATTAATTAGTAACTATATTGTTATATAACTAGATACTAATTAGTTTATCCCACGTTTCGGCTGCTTATCTGCTACCTTCGTCAGGGAAGATCTGATTATTTCTGTGTCTCGACTGGAGTCTTCCTCCCCCCCCCCCCCCATTTAGAAGTAATTAACATAAATGGACAAACAGCTAAGAGTACCCCACAGCACCACCCCACACATCTACGATTTACCTAAAATTCACAAACAAGACTACTTTTCCATAACACAGTTAAATGCATATTTCTCTGTGTCAGTGGTTCTCCGAAAACATAAACAAGACTACTTTTTCCATAACACAGTTAAATGCATATTTCTCTCTGTCAGTGGTTCTCCGAAAACATAAACAAGACTACTTTTCCCATAACACAGTTAAATGCATATTTCTCTGTGTCAGTGGTTCTCTGAAAACATAAACAAGACTACTTTTTCCATAGTACAGTTAATTGCATATTTCTCTGTGTCAGTGGTTCTCTGAAAACATAAACAAGACTACTTTTTCCATAGCACAGTTAATTGCATATTTCTCTGTGTCCGTGGTTCTCTGAAAACATAAACAAGACTACTTTTCCATAACACAGTTAAATGCATATTTCTTTGTATCAGTGGTTCTCTGAAAACATAAACAAGACTACTTTTCCATAACACAGTTAAATGCATATTTCTCTGCGTCAGTGGTTCCCCGAAAACATAAACAAGACTACTTTTTCCATAGCACAGTTAATTGCATATTTCTCTGTGTCCGTGGTTCTCTGAAAACATAAACAGCATACAAGTTAGAACATTATTCAGAAGCCGCAATACGACATGATCATACTTGTGCACACCAAACCATCTACGGACCTAACACTATATATAGCATTACTTGTGAATGTGAATTTCAATACACTGGAGAAACGAAAAGACCAAAAACATTCGAACTCGGGGGCATAACAGACATATAAGACTAAGTAATATCAAACTGTCTGCAATAGCCCACCATGCTAGAGAAGAAGACCATAAAATAAATTGGAATACTTAAAAAATAGGATATGAACCACACATGAGAGAAATAAAGGTAAAAGAATCCCTCTACGTTAATGTAACTGATAACACTCAGTCGATATAGTCCAGAAGCAAGCAAAACATAGACACCCTTCTTGAAAACATTTAAATATTTAGTTGATTACATAGATACCCCTCTTGAAAACATTTAAATGTTTAGTTGATTACATAGATACCCCCTTGAAAACATTTAAATATTTAGTTGATTACATAGATACCCCTCTTGAAAACATTTAAATGTTTAGTTGATTACATAAATACCCCCCTTGAAAACATTTAAATGTTTAGTTGATTACACAGATACCCCCATGAAAACATTTAAATATTTAGTTGATTACATAGATACCCCTCTTGAAAACATTTAAATGTTTAGTTGATTACATAAATACCCCCCTTGAAAACATTTAAATGTTTAGTTGATTACATAGATACCCCCATGAAAACATTTAAATATTTAGTTGATTCAAATTCTAAACGGAGGCCAATTCAATCTAGTGGATAACGCAGCACATAGAAATAGCCCTTCTCAGGACACGCAGCCAAAATTTAAAATGAAACTAATTAGTATCTGGTTATATAAAGAAAATAATTAAGTTATCTGGTAGGCTACTAACCAGGACAATGCGTAACAAAGTAAACATTGATGAACTGGTTTAAATAAACAGACGAAAACGTTAAACTTGTAGAAAAAACAAAAACAAGTTACCTCCAATAGAGGTCGTTGTTGGTAGATAGTGTGTTCCATCGTGGAGTAAAATACCTTCACTTTGGAATGGTTTTGTCTGAAACATAACACTTAATATCTGGTCAAGATAATATTCGTTAAAAATGTTTCTCGGCGAATAACGCAGATTTCTAAAAAAAAAAATGTCTAAGCACTATCTCACGAAACTAAAATAGAGGAAAAGGATAGATCCACGGGCGTCCGCAGAAATTTTTCCGGGGGGCAAAGTAATGTGAAATTGTGAAGTGTTTGTTTGTTTGAAGTTAAGCAGAAAGCTACACAATGGGCTATCTGTGCTCTGCCCATCAGGAATATCGAAACCCGGTTTCTAGCGTTGTAAGTCCGCAGACATACCACTGTGCCACTGGGGGGGGGGGGCTTTGTGAAGTGAATAAGAAGTTCATATATATGGTGAATGAATAAAGAAAGAATCATGTTTCTCATTTTCCAGGGGGGAAGTGACCCCCCTCCGCGGACGCCCATGGTTAGATCATTATCACAAAAGTTCTCACAGCCGTATGCGTAAAGACAAAGTATGATATGTTACTTGTGGTATAATTTACTCTTTTGTCGCTGAACGTCTTAAAGAATTTCACACAGAGTCTGTTTTCATGTGAACCAATTCAGACTTAAGAGTATTATGTTAATATATGATGATATTGGAATCACAGCATTATGCGTTTGAGCCATTCACTTTACTACTTTTATCGGGATATGAGAAAAAATGTTATATGTAAGACTCACGCAGTATAATTGTAGGTTGAATACCTTACTTCAATGACATTTAAAAAAATAATTTTCTATTTCAAAATCTAGGTTTAACAGATCCGTGTTTGTTAAGCTTCATCAGTAGCTAATATAATGATTGAAAATATGATATTTTCTAAAAATATACGTATACGTCATTGTTATGCAAGAAAATTATAAAATACATGGATAAAAATATTTCAGATACACCTAAATTACCGCCACCTAGTAATGAATTAAGTAAAACACACATTATACACGAAAGACACTTGGCTTTATGTGATGAAGTACAACCACAAAGTTATACCATCGGAATAAGTATTTTATTTTGTATTTATGGCAAAGCTATTAAGGATATCTACTGCCAACCCTAATTTTGAACTACTAACCAGATGAAAGGCAGCCAATGAGAACCTCTCTACCGCCCACCACCTACACTAAGGGATTGGCTGTCTCGCTTATGACGCATGAGCAGCTTAAATTGCGGCGAATTTTTTGTTGTATCTTACGTACAGATTCGAATCCTGATGATCAGTTCCAAAATCCAGAGCTCTATCACAGAGGTCCTCCGGTGGGACAGCGGTAAGTCTTCGGATTTGCAACTCTGCAAGCAGGGAATCGATCCCCTTCGATGGACATAGCAGACAGCCCGATGTGGCTTTGCTATAACAAAACACACACATGCTCACGCCCTCATTCTGGATAAGAATTAACCCTGTCCTATACATCAGATGTGACGCTCGTATACGATTCTCAGGCTTTGAGCAATAATCACGTCGTGACACTCAATATATTTAGTTCCTAAAACTCTCTACTCCACTCTCTTTGAATAATACTAGAAGGATACGTTTCACTCATACCTAACGTTTCACTCATACCTAGTTTAGTAAGTAGTCAAATACACGTATCCATAAAATAAAACATTAACTGATGGACACGTAATATTATATGTTAGCGTTATAAATTAACAGCAACTCAAACTAATGCCACTTAGGTACGAATTAGGATCAACATAGAAAATGTCCTTCCAATATAACAAAATAACCTAGAAACACTGCCGTAAACACTTGAAGTTCAACCGTAAAATTATGCCACAGTTCTTGTCCAGCAAAGATCAAGGTCATTGATAATAAGGCAATAGAAGTCTGTCTTTAGGTCGTTTTTATATGAATTGACTTTTTTTTTTAGTTTCATAATTTCTAACACTGTTATTGTTTGCTTTCATAGGTGTTTTTCGTCTCCTTTTAACTGATAAATAACCATATTGCCGACATCTGTTACTCATGTCTCCAAATCGAATGCCTTTTACAATAAAGGTGTTTTCTGACATCTGTGACTCTTCTCTTCAGAACAAATGCCTTTATACAATAAAGGTGTTTTCTGACATCTCTTACTCATTTCTCCAGATCGAATGCTTTTACAGCCACAGATGTCAGAAAACACCTTTATTGTATAAAGACATTTGTTCTGAAGAGAAGAGCCACAGATGTCAGAAAACACCTTTATTGTATAAAAGCATTTGTTCTGAAGAGAAGAGCCACAGATGTCAGAAAACACCTTTATTGTATAAAGGCATTTGTTCTGAAGAGAAGAGCCACAGATGTCAGAAAACACCTTTATTGTTTTCTCTTCAGAACAAATGCCTTCATACAATAAAGGTGTTTTCTTACATCTGTGGCTCTTCTCTTCAGAACAGAACAAATTCCTTTATACAATAATGGTGTTTTAGAAAGTTTTAATGGGAGAAGCTGTACTCTGCTTGTTTATTAGATTTGCTGACAAAAATCTTAACTAGCTTTAAAATTCTCTAGTTTATTATTCACAGACATTCGCTGAAAAATATGGAAGGGAAGGGTTGTAATACACCCATCTAAAGTTTCATTTTTAGGGGTTCTTTAGTAGCTCAGCGGTAAGCTTGGTTGGTTATAATGCTCATTTTGCATCTTTGCGCTTATAAACAAACAAACTCGACGTTTTTTGGAGGGTTGGAAAAATTACCAGCTGATTAGATTATCAGCCAGAAGGTTTAGCCTTTAATAGAGGTCGCCACAGTTGAACTATCAAGTATAGCATGAGTGATGTAGACAGCTAAAGAGATACAACAATTAAAGCTGCGAATTCAACTAATTTTCTTTGTTTATCCATTTATTTTCATTTTGATTTAGGTCAATAAAAAACTCTTGGAATATAGATCCTGTCGATTTCAATTGTTTAGGTATTTTTAACGGTAACAAATCATTCTTTCATTGTCATTAACACTAGTTTGAAAAATGTTTCTGCTGATATAGGATTATCAGGGATAAAAATTATCACACACACACATATATATATATGTCTGTGATTTGTCACGGTTTTTATTTGCGTATTAAAACTGTGAATTTCCTGTTACTTAACTATTGATATTTCATTCTGTGTACATTAAACATTAGTACTTTTTCATTCTTTCACAGCGAAGAGAATAAATAATTATTAATGAAAATTTGTTTATTGTTTTAAAAGCAACATTTTGTACATACCGGAAAATTTCCCTGTACGTTAAAGACTGTTCCCATGTTTTGAACTCCAGTTTCTCAGATTTAGCTTTAGAGATGTCGTAAGCCTGAAAGAAAAGAAATACCAATAGCTAAGCTCAAAGAAATACATCCAAGAAAATTAATAATTAGTAAAGGACATATATATATAATATTAGTGGGCATTTAATAGACTTGACTGATTTTGGTAGTAAAATATTTGAAAGTTTTTTTTTCTAACGAAATTGTTTAAAAAAAGAGGAAAATCGTGATCAAATTAATCATAGACACATTTCGCTCGTAACAAAATATTTAACCTCAATAAAGACAATACAATAATTTAAAATTCATACATAAATATTGCTAAATGACATGAAAGTCTTGTAATTCCCTATGCGTTGATAGAAATATTATGTGGCTGCATTAAAAAGTAAAAAACATAGTTAAAAAAAAAAGAATCCGAAGAGTAACGATTTCTTGAAACGTAATTTGACGACATAGCAGTGCAACATTTGGGTTTATTGTTTGCTTGTTGTTATGCGCAACGCTGCACATGGGCTATCTGAGCTGTGTTTACCACAAGAATCGAAACCCGGCTTTTAGCAATGTAAGCCCTATTCAGACTTACCGCTGAGCCACTGGGAAGAGGAAAGAGGGCATTCTTTGAGCACAATTATTTGGGGTATGGAACATTTAAGTTTCAATAAGTTCAATAACTTTAATAAAACATACAATAAATGATTCAACCAGCTAAACTTTGAGCTTTTCACAAAGTCTTCATCCTTCTGGGGTTGTAGATTGTGTATTAGGTCGTCAAGAAATTAATGTTGTGTTTTGGAACACTTTCATTACCCCCCCCCCCCCAAAAAAAAAACAACAACATGTACATCACGTATAATAGTTAAACGAACCGCCTAAACGTCACGTTAGTGTAGCCTATATAATATGTAAAGTTTAG